TTTACTTACAAGTAAACCACTTTCCTTTGAAGTTGACAATTGAGTCTGTTGGTTACATGTCAGCCGAATGTTAGTGATATGGTGAAACATATACATGCAAGGTACCAATCAGCTGCTGGCAAACTAAAGGGGAAACTATTGCATGTAATTACAGTTGTATTTCACAATTTGAGCTAACACTCCAAATTTTATTGGAAGCTTTGCAAACAAGATGACCAAAGCCTTTTGATTAAATTAAAAGGCCTTGGCCATGCTACATGTATTTTCAATGAATTTTGCAGTATTGTTGTGCGCAACACCATTTCAGTCTCTTTAACTTTCTTGTTCAGCTTAACATTAATTTTCTTTGTTTTCAATGGGATAAACTAAAGTTCTTGCTACCTGTGCCGCAGCTCTGACTGTGGGCATAAGAAGAGATTCTTTATCCTCATCAGGCAGAACTGATGCAATACTTGAACAGCCCTCGACAGCAAGTAGTCTCACAGAGTCCTGCTCATCATTAGCTAAGTTATTGAACAGTGACACTAGGTCTGCTTTGACAAACTCAAGCTCCACACATTTTGCAAATTCCTGAAATGATGGCACATACAAATAAGGTGGATGATAAAGATAAAGATAATATCATGACTCATATTCATGTTGCCTGGTAGTAAGTAACGAAAAGCATAAACTTTACACTCAACATTGAGATGCGACTGTACAGGACCCAAAAGCTCTGATCTGCTGCATTTCCAAGTCTAAATTATGTATGTATAAAATGTATTCTCTCAAATTGAGTAAACCAGGCTTAAGCAGGGTAATGAGAGAAATTGACAAATCTGTTTGAAATGATGATAAGCTACTAATGGCTATTTTCAGGATTTTAATAACATATGCTGACAGTACAACCAGGTACACTGTAATATTACAAACATACTTACTCCTAGTTTTCCAGAAGCTGCTCTTCTTACCATGGGCGTGTCATCTGCGCACAAGTTTTTAAAATGGCTGGGGAAAACAGTATATTATTGACAGCATACGGTTAATTCTTTGGAAAACCATCTGTAGTACTCTCAAGATGTTTATACTGCGCAATATGCATGTAACTGTTTGTTATCATATTTGGTTCTGACACTCTCTACATCAAGTTGTTCAAAGGGTAGAGGACGCTATCTATCAGATACATGTGAATTACTATCCAGTGGAAAAATGTTGATAAAAACCAGGACATTATGCACTGGATAGTGACCAAGGAACTAACCTTTGAACAGCCAGGGGTTGATGATGTAAAAAAAAAAAGCCATAAAGTAAACTACATGTTCATGTACAACCACTTTCTTACAACTGAAGAAGACTTCCTGATAACACACATTTTTGTACTGTATTTTACAAACTGCTATTCGATACGACGGAGTATTATTTTCTACCTCCACAATGTACAGGTTGTACAATAATGTACGTTAATTAACAACTACTGCTCTATTTACACCCAAGCACTTTACCCTTGGGCAAAAAAATCAAGGAATTTCTTTCAAAGATGTTCTATGATCTATCCCATAGTTTATCTTGAGGATGAAAAGGGTGAAACGTGGCTGGAATGCAGAGGCAAAACAATGATCTGTAACTCATATACAGTACAAACTGCCATGTCAATTCATGGAAGATCTGCAATTTACTCTTTATTGTTTGTTTTCTTACA